TTTGAGTTTTAAGAATCTGTTAAATATTATAGATACAAGTCCTTTATAGATATATTTATCTCCTGCCTGAAGGATGTGTTTTAAAACATCCTATAGAAAAAAAAATCCTATTCAGCAGATTGATAGATTCTTTTCAGCTTTGGCATATTTAGAAGTTTATTTGCTTTCTTTTTTGAAACATATTTTGGCTAAAAATAAAACTCTTAAGTTAAAAAAAAAAGATATAATTGAGTGAAAAAAATCAAGGGCAGAAGACTACATATATGGTATATTTTTAAAAGCTCAACCATGCTAAACAATATACATTTTTAGAGATACATACACATGTGGTTAAACCACTGGGGGAAAAAGACAAAGCAAGGAAAACAGAAACACACAATTCTGGGTAATCATTAATTCTCTTTAGGAAACAAGAACAGAATAAAACACATAGGTTGAGTCGATGATCAGCAGTGGTGAACCTATGACATATGTGCTGCAGTGGGTTGTTGGTTATCATTGAAAGTTGTAAAAGGCTCGCCATCATTGCTCTAGGTGTTTAGATGAGCAGTGGATTCATAGTTGTTCACAACTTTGTTACACATGTAGGTATCAAATATTACACGATTAAAATCTTTAATGAGGAAAGAAACAAATAGCTTTGACAAAGTGTAAAAAGAATTGTAATATATTGTGAATTTTTCTTTTGGGGCATGTGACTGGGAAACCAGTCATTTACCTTTGTTGTTGTTGCTTTGTTTTCTTCTTTGAGACAGGATCTAGCTAGGTAACTCTGGCTGATCTCTGTGTTAGAATTATAGCTGTGTGCCACCAACTAGGTTTTTCACATATATTTTAAATTATTTTAGTTTTATAGTGCTATTTGAGTATAATAAAAGCTGTATTTGCTTCAGTCCATTTGGGGAAAAAGGACACGTACACATGGAAACACAAATACCTAAGAGAATAGATTATTACTTTACAGACATTTTACAAAATAAATAAGTAGTTGAGACAAGGAATGGAGAGAAAGACTCACCAATGATATATCGGCAAGTAGAGTAGGGACAGAATCAAGAATTCAAAGGTATTTAAAAAGAAAGTGGAAATGGAGGTTGTAGATTATAGATTGCTTTCACAAAGTGTAGCAATAAGAGAAGAGATACCTATATTACAAGAATGAAAAATTTTGGCCCAAATACAAACTTTGTTAAGCATTGAGGAAGGCTCTGAGGTTTCGTGTTCAGTCCACACTCATACCTGCTCCCAGGGCATTTGAGTAGTTTCACTATTCAATCACTATTTTCTTGTCTGTTATCTTTTCCACCTTTTAAAGTTATTTAACTCTTTCGCAATTATAATGGATCATGCCAGAATCTAATCATGACAATAAACTAAAACCCCAATGAATAAGACACTCCGTTCAAAATCAAAATATTCCTTAGTCATTCTTCCCTCAAATCAGAACTGATTGATTATAATTTACACATAGCACAGATCCCATTCAAACAACAGGAAGTGACTTAAGACATTTTAATGGATTTTGGTTTTCTAATTTATCTTTGAAACTATTATCTGAAACTATTTCAAAAAGGAAAAAAATAAAAACCCTGTGAGTAAATATACCAATGCTTTACTTGTTTTTCCCCTAAGAAAATGTTTGCGTGGGAGATGTACAGAGAAGAACAATTCAAGTATCACCTCCTACATCTTTCCAGACCTCCTACACTTTGCTCTGCACACAAACCCGCTTTTGTCATAATATATATTTATTTAATTACATGCCAGTCTTCCACTAAGGCTGCAGGCTCCTTGAGGAAGAGACCTTCTCTTGGTCATTTTGGACTCTCTGGAGCGATGTCTTGGGTCTGGTATACAGTATTGGCAACACAATAAATGTTGCTTTTGTCACTAATTATCAGAGGAATACAAATCATCTCACATCTGTTAAAAAGGCTAGTATCAAAAAGGCAAAAGATACATGTTAGTGGGGATGTGGAGATTCAGGAACTTCTTTATGGTGGACGTATATATTAGTATAACCATTATGAGAAACAGTGCAAAGGTTCCTCAAAAAAGCTGGAAATAGAACTACCATATGATCCAGCGCTCCCATAAGTGGGTCCTTATCCAAAGGAAATAAAACCAAAATGTCAAGGAGCCATCTACACTCCCACTATTCACAAAAGCCAAGACATGAAATCAACCTAGGTGTATATCAACAGATAAATGGATAAAAAGAAAATGTGGCACATATACACAATGGAATACTATTTGGTACAGCCATGAAGAAAAACAGTGCAGCAGTTCCTCAAAGAAGCTAGAAATAGAACTACTATATGATTCAGCAATCTCATGACTGGGATTCATGGGATTAAAACCATGTCATTTGGGACAACGTGGATGAACTTGAAGAACATTAATTGAGCCAGCAACAGAAAGAAACACTGCACGATCTATTTATCTACAGAATCTACAAAAGCTGATCTCAAAGAACAGAAGAGAATGGTGGTTACCTAAGACTTTGGTGACCAGAGGGAGGGAGATGGAGAAGTGCTGATAAAAGGATATATAATTACAGTTAGGAGGAAAAAGTATCCAGAATAGACATATATGGAGACAGAAAGTAGATATTGCCGGGAGGGGGGTTGGAGGGAGAATAATTACTGTTTATGGAATTTCTTGGGTGAGGAAAATGTCCTGAAATTGATTGTGGGGATGGTAGCATAACTGGATTGCATACTTTAAATGAACAAATTGTATATGTAAATTGTTTTATTTTATTTTTTTTGGCACTGGGGATCAAACTCACAACCTCATGTTTACCAGGCAAGTGACTGAGCTTTCTGAGCTAAATCCCCGGACCAATTACATGTTTTAATAGAACTTTATTTATTTATTTATTTTGTCTTTTTCTTTTTTATCAGTACCTGGGATCGAACTCACGACTGCCTGCTTGCAAGGCAGGTGCTTATGCTGCTGAGCTAAATCCCCAGCCCTTTAATAGAACTTTACAGTTATTGAATGAGTAAATAATGAATGAAGTTATTAATAAAATTTTTAAAATTAAAAAAATTTAAAAGTAAACGCTTATGCTAAGTGCCGTGGTGCACACTTGTAATCCCAGCTCCTAGGAAAGCAGAGGCAGGAGGACTGCTAGTTCAAGGGAGAGATTTTATTTTGAGAGTCTGTCTCAAAATAAAAAAAGGCTGGGGATGCAGCTCAGTGCAAAGCCGTGGATTCAATCCCCTGTACCACAAAAAACAAACAGAAAAAATGTTTATTTCAAAAGTTATCTAGAGCTGGGCATAGTGGTGCACACCTGCCATCCTAGCACTCAGGAGGCTGAGACAGGAGGATCACCTTGAGTTCTAGGCCAGCCTGAGCTACATAGTGAATCTAGGTCAGCCTAAACTACTTAGAAAGACTCAAAAACAAAAACAAAACAAAATAAAAACGAACAGAAGTTGTCTATACACAGGCTAAATTGAATCTGGCACACAGTAGATGCTCAATAAGTGTTTTATGGGTGAATATTGAATACATAGATATCAGAAATACTTCCATTTTATTGTGACCTCTGGAAGAGAAACCACAGAATCAACAATAGTACATCTTTTTAGGTGTAAATCGTTTAAAGATACTGGAAGCTATTCAAACAGTAGTTGAAATCCAAAATTCACATTCCTTTTAAAGAAAAACATACTTCTTTTTTTTTTTTTTTTTGTCTTTTTCATTTTTATCGGTACCAAGGATCGAACTCACGACCGCCTGCTTGAAAGGCAGGTGCTTATGCCGCTGAGCTAAATCCCCAGCCCCAAGAAAAACATACTTCTTGAAATACATATTTTGTTTGTGGAAGATCAGTTGGTGCTATACATTTAAGTCTCCGAGTTTAATGTGGTTTTTTCCCGTTGGCTTTAGGGGTGCTTCATAGGAAATCTGAGCCATGGAGATACATTTTGTGATTGGTATGAAGGTAAACTATGATAGGAGGAAACCTACGAATTGTTAACATCTTTAACTCTTTATCAGGCAGCTTACATATTTTTTTTCTGGTCTTTACCTTTCCCCCCTACACTTCCCCTTGTGTAGAACACAGAGTAGGGATTATCAACATCCTCATTTTACAGATTAGGAAACTGAGATTATTAAATCTCTTCTTTAGTCTTCCTAGGAAATGGGGTACAGGGACTGCTCCGTTGCTATTAAAATTACTCTGGCAATTGTACAAAGGTAATGAGTTCCCTTCTCTCCCCTCAGGACTGGAAACTGAACGATGGCCTTAGGCAAACTAGGTAGCTAAGTGCTTTACCACTTAGCCACATCCCCAGCGTCTTTATTCGACTTGCAATAGGGTAAGAAAATGAGTGCAACTCAGAAAACAGCAAAAGTAACTGGGGATTTACAGCCAAGAATCAAGTGGAGCGAAGATCAATGGACGGAAAATTACTAAGAGACTTCAAGGGCACAGGGATTCTTGCTAAAGGCAAGCCAAGTATTTACACATGAATGTGGGTGTAGGGGCTAAGAATTTTGTTCAGATACCAACTATCAACATATCAAGCGTGATCAGATATCAAAGGTGGGAGAATGACACAGTAGGATTCTTATTAAAATTGGGTTCAGCTTGGTTAGACGGAAAGGTCAAGGTAGAAGCTTCGAAAACAAGAGGACAAGAGGCGCCTAACTGAAGTTAGCGTCTTTGCCACTGTCAAACCTGACTTCTTTATCATCCATGCCCATGGAAGACTAGACAACTGGCGGGGTGCCGAGGCTCTGAAATTATGGTTAGGGGGCCTCGCTCGCCCTAGAAAGCAGTATAGTGCCGAAGCCCGTGCGAGAAGGCTGAATCTAGAACCCACGAAGAACGCCCGCCGCAGCCAGGCCTCACAGCCCCGCCCTGCCGGCCGCGTCCAACTTCAGGGCGGGCCCGCAGGTCGGCAGGACCGGGCGGGCGCATCGATTGGCTGCCCGCACTGGCCGGGATTTCCCGGCCCCGCCCCGCACGCCCCTCAGAGGAGAGGCCGCGCGCCGGCCAGGCGGGAGGGGCCGGAGCTCGCGTTCCTCCCCCCTACCGGTCCTCGTCCTTAAAGTACGAGTCCGGACGCCCCGCCTGTTGGAGAGGGCGCCGGGATCCCAAGGGCGAACAGTTGAGGCAGGCCAGGGCCGACCGACAAGGGCCTGTTTCCGGCTGGCACGCGAGTGCCTCGGCCGCAACCGAGTGTTGCGGGAGCTGTGAGGGAAGGGGTCCCGGGCGCCATTGTTGGCGGTCGGAGCACCTCCGGGCCCCAGTCCACCGTGGGTCGGGAGGAGCTGTCGCTCGGGGCAGTCACCAGCCTCTGAGCCAGGATCGAGAATCTGGCATCTCGTCCTCCGGCCCGCAGCTTTACCTACTGCCCGCCCCGGGCAGCGCCGGCCGAGACCATGTTTGACAAGACGCGGCTGCCGTACGTGGCCCTGGATGTGCTCTGCGTTGTCCTGGGTACGTACGCGCCTGCCCGAGGGGCGTGTGCGCTCGAGCCCCCGGGGCTTGCGGCTGTGCTGGCAGGAGCTTCCGGGCGCGGCGGGCGTGAGGGGGGTGTGCCTGGCGCGCGGGGCGGGCGAGACGCGAGGGGCGGCTTCTGCTGTCCAGGACCCCGCTTCGCAATCCGTGCCTCGGCTCCCTCGTGGCTGCCGCTCCCTGTCTGTCGCCCGCCGGTGTGCTGAACCCAGCCCTGCTTTGACGCTGTTCACGCCTCTGCACTGCGTCCCCTGCTCCTGTTCTCTGTCTCCCTCTGCTCCTGCAGGCAGGGTGGGCTCCTTTCTCTACTGTAGAGGAGTCTGGTCACTGGCTCGTCAGGTTCTGTATCGAAACTGGAGGTTTGATGCACTGAGGTTTCTCAGTAGCAGGCGCCAGTGCCTGATTTATCATATTTGTGAGAAGCAGTTAAGTCTTCGGCTATAAAAGGCTGTAACGTTCCTAATTAGGAGGTATTGCCAGGTTGTAAATTGTGAGGTTGCAAGTGGTGATGAGGGTGCCAAGTTTCTGCCTGTTGGTGTGCAGAAGCTTGCTTTTGAGGGGGAGGGTATCCCAGACCTTCTGTTTCCTTCTCTGCGCAGACCTTGGCGTAGTGCAGTTGATCTCCGGTGACAGCCCTGCAAGGAGCCTTAGACATTCTTCACCTGCAGCAAATTTGGCGTTGTTTTCTAGTTAATTGAAAGACGTTAAGTGCTGATGTTTCTGGTTGCCAGGTGTTTTATTTTTTTGACAAAGAATTGGATAAGGGATAGGCGTTGCAGAAGTGGCAGTCTTAAGGCAGTTATCTTTGTGACCTATTTCCATTTACGGAAAACAAGACCTGCTGGAGGTTTTCAGCAGCCCCATTCTCTTTTAAGTAATCTAAGCAGTAGTACTGGCAAGTTCTCACTGTCGGAATTGTGTGGCTTTCGTATTTTAGGTGTAAGTCTGTGTACTCGCTTCAAAACCAGGATATTTCCCTGCTTTTAATTCAGTAGTTCTTAAATATTCTTGCTTATTTCCAATCTCATCAGCTTTACTTCCAATCTTACTGAGTTTTTATAATTTTGTTACCTGTTTTTTTTTTAAAGTCTTCCTGAAATATCTAAATTGATTTATTTTTTGCAATAGAAAGTTTATCTTTGGTTAAGATGTTAAATTAGAGGTGTATTTCAACTTGTTCTTGGTTGTAGTGGAATTTTGTTAAATTTCATTTATGTTGTAGGGAAAGAAAAGGAAAATTTCAATCAGAAGTAATTTTGGAGCAGGTTGTCACGGTGCATGTCTATAATCTCAGCTTTTAGGAGGCTGAGGCAGGGAAATTGTCAGGAGTTCGAAGCCATCCTGGGCCACATCGTGAGTTTAAGGCCAGATGCACTACATAGTGTCTCCAGAAGACATTTTTTTTTTTTTTGGTAATTCTAATGTATTGGGCATTATTCTGTCATTTCCTTAGATTGTATGCTGTTATAATTGTACATCAACTTTCCTATCAGTGAAAATTAATTTAGGAAACAGGATTTTTGTTTTTTGAGTCATGGTCTCACTGTGTGGTTCAGGCTGACCTTGACTCACTATGTAGGCAAGGCTAGCTTTGAACTCACAGCATTCTTCCTGCCGCTGCCTCCTGAGTGCTGGGATTACAGGGATGCACCACTATGTCTGTCCTAAAACAGGATTTTTTAAATGGACCAGATACTAAATAGGTGCAATGAAATATAATACACAGGGGCTGGGGATTTAGCTCAGCTGCCTAAGTGCCTGCCTTGCAAGCAGGCAGTTGTGAGTTCGATCCCTAGTACCGATAAAAAGGCAAAAAAAAAAAAAAAAGAAATATAATACACACTGCTCTGAGGCAGATGAAGCTAATGTCTTTAAACATACAGCCATGTGGTAGGTCCACATTGAAAAAAAACTTATGTATAACGGAGGAACTTTTTTTAAAATTTAATTTTTTATTTTTTTTGTGTGTCTTTTTTCCTTTTTATTGGTACCGGGGATCGAACTCACGACTACCTGCTTGCAAGGCAGGCGCTTATGCCGCTGAGCTAAATCCCTAGCCCCCAACTTTATTTTATTTTTTTAATGCAGCTGCAATGAGAATGAGCCCCGTGTGGTTGGTGCGCAATAATGGAGGAACTTATATGAGTACAGTTTTATAAATTATAATTGTTGTGGACTATGTTTTCAGTATGCAGCAAGCATCACTTAATTGTCCTAGAGAGATTAATTTTATTGCTTCATTGACCTGACAGTTGCAGGACTATGATGGTTTTAAAATAGATGATTAAAGTGTCTTTGGTGGTTTTGGAAAGTGTTTTCTTTGGGTACTCAGGCATTAAGTTTGTTTTTAAAAAAAGACATTTAACCTATTTGATGCATTTTTCTGTTTTTATATTAGTGGTTTCTTTTAATACAATTCAGTATATTACAGTTTCCCCAGAACTCTTTGTTGCTAAATAGAAAGTGCTTATCTCACTGACTTAATTAAATATGTATTACAAACAGCAATGGAGAGTAGAGACACATGCTGATTTTTGGAAGATGTTTTTTGTAATAAATTCATTGTTTCTAGGGAGTCTAAAGATCGTATTAAATTTGTACTGAGAGCAGATTGGCAGCCTAAACTGGTAGCTTGAAGAGGGTTATCAACTTGTCATTAACTTTTATCAACTTGTCATTAACTTTTTCTGTGGAGCATCTACAGGTAGGAGTTGACTATACTAATGAAAGGGTGATTCAGCATTTCCTAAGACAGGGTTATATGAAAGTGATTCATTATCATTATTCATTATTATATCATTATTCATTATTATAATTATAATGTGAATATGTTCTAGATCCTGTTAATGACCACCCCAACATTATACAGTACATCCATTTCAGTATGATGATATGTGAATTTTGTTATAGAAATACTTTATAAATTACCAAGGGTTATATCTGTTGAAGTGTGCATTAAATATACTGTGTTTGCCAGTTTATGTCTCTAAATTGTCTTTATCATCAGTGTGAAGCATGAGTTTTTCTATGTGCATGTTCTTATTAGCTCTTGTTTTGTTTTGTTTTTTTGAGACACAGTCTTACTCTGCAGTTCAGGCTGGCCTTACACTCATTTTTCAGCCCAGGTTGGTCTCAGATTTGGAACAATCCTCCTGCCTCAGCCTCCAGAATACTGGGATTATAGGCGTGTTTATTAGCTCTTTCTGTGGGGCCTGGTAAACCTTTGTATAAAGAAATACAATTCTGAGAAAAAATTAAATCCTGAGAAATAATGTATATTTGGTGCTTTTCTGAAGTGGAATATAGCCTTGCCATTTTTTTCCTGTGTGTGATTTTTGTTTGGTCTTATATTGTAGATTGAATTCAGTGAATTCACTGAGTGCTAAGAAATACCACTAGCCTGTTTTTTAAAAATTTCAGATAGTCTTCTAAGTTGCCCAAGACTGGCCTTCAACTTGTGATCCTCCTGACTCAGCCTCCTGAGTGGCTGAGATTACAGGTGTATTCCAGTGTGTTCAGTTTCTCTGGTTCTGATAGTCTTCTCTGGTTCTTTTGATGAATAGTTCTGTATAATAGAAAAGGCCACATTCATTAGTTTGCTAGTAGTGGACCCTCAGTTGACCAATAGAGTCAGTGCACATTGGTTGAAGGCCAACTTTATGTTGTTAGTTGCTGATAATACAAAGATGTCTAGGACAGTCCCTCCCCTAAAAGCTCAGAGTCTAGTAATAGGGAAACAAACAAGAAGTTACATTACATCATTATAATTGTGATAATGAAGGTATGGAATAGGTGCACTTTGAGCACAGGGAAGGGCTTTGTCTCTTAGAGAAATGGCTCATCTGTTTATTTTATTTTAGGTAGTTCAGTCTGGACTTGAATTTACCATGTGGCTCATGCTGACCAGATGATCCTCCTGCTTCAGCCTTCCATGTGTTGGGATCACAGGCATCAACCACCACGTGTGGCTCATCTGTTTACTCTTAGAGATGCAGAGATGCCAAAAGTTGCCTAGAATTACTCTTAAAATTTTTTTACCCTTCAACTTCATGTGGGGCATTAGCAACTTGCCTATGTTTATGACATTATACAGGCAGTCCCCATGCTGTTTAGAAGCTGTAGGTGAGACTGTTGGCAAAACTTTCTGTGCTTTGCTGTACAGTAATCATTTGGAATACTTTTGTGTGTTTGTATTCTCCATTTGCCCCTCAAGATGTTTTCTCCACCCTGCTCTGTGCTGTGGGACGTAACTTGCCTGGGTATCAGCTGAGCCTTTACCTTTTGGTTTCTAGGTGGCTTTGCCCACTATGTAAGGAGCAGTCCCTCCTGCTGGATTTTGCCAGCCTGCTCTGTAAGCAGCTCACACTTATTCAGTGACTGTCTCCTCAGCCAGCTGGAGATCTTTCTGGGTCCTTATAAACCTTCCTTTGCCCTTTTAGACCTAGGGATTATAATGACTTCCTGATGTTTCTACCTGAGAATACATACGCTTATACCTTTGAAAATGATTTCATTGAATTCTCTTGAAAGTATTATTTGAGTGTGCTTTTATTTACCAGCCTCTGCTGGTAATACTCACCTGTGTCCAAAAATGGTCTGAGGTAGCCTTCCTTTCTATAGTAGACACAAATTACAGTGGCCTTTAATAGCAAATATAAATAGGAACCCAAAGGCCCCAATTGTTTTCTTTGAAGGGAGGGCTTTAATGGTCCCCCCAGTATGCACCACATGTGATATGACCATTATGTCAAGATCCACAGGTGTATTATAAAATCTGGCATCTATGCTATGAATCTTTATTAACTTATTTTTCATGTACTCATTTTTGGCTGAGCTTTACCAAAATTTCCAATGTATTACTCAGTTTGGGGGAATTACTTTGATTCTTTTGGATAAAAAAATTGAAGTTTAGGATCAGGGATTTAGCTCAGCGGTATAAGCGCCTGCCTGGAGAGTTTGAGGTCATGAGTTCAGTCTAAAGT